ATAAGAGACTTTATAAATATTAATTGGAAAGGTAAGTACCAAGTAAATGAACGGCATCTGACTCTTTAAATGCGAATTGATGACGAAGAAGATGGGCGATTTTATGACAGAGGCCATTCTTTAGCTAATTCTCAACCATTTTTTTTGCATCACATTACCGTGAATAAAATAAGGTTTAGAAATTCTACATATGTCCTTAAACATGAATTTGAATTTGGAATCAGAGTTTTCCTTTCTTGCTTATAGCCTTTTAATAACGAGGATAACAAACCCTGTTTATTAAATATCATAATTCTGTTCACAGGCAAAAAAATGTTCTACGGAGTTGGATGCAGTCAATCGCGATTCGACAAACGAAATTGGCGGACCGATTTTCTGTTTTCGGTCACGGCAAGTGATACCAGTTTCGCGCGAATAGTTTGAAATGAACTCATTTCTTGGCCCTGACCTATGGCCATTTGTCTTGATCGTTTTTATATCGATGACAAGCCATGACGAAAAGCCACATCTCAAGAGCATCTCGCATTGCTATCCACCACATGAAGAATCACGAAAAAAAAAAAAAAAATGAAAATTAACATCGGAGAGGTGACTTGACTGTTTTTCTTTTGATAAATTATTCAGTGTCAAGTGAAAACGTAGGCCATTCGAAAATATTTATCATTTCGTTCATAACGAAATGATAAATATTTTCTCGTATAGATATTTACTCAGCTTTCCCCTAAGACATAAACCCCATTGCGAACCTGCCTGCTAAGCGTTGCTCTGAAGTAAGCGCCCTTGAAGATGTTTAATAGGCACAGGACGTTTACTAGGCACTAGTAAGTTTAACTAGCAAAGTACTACAATAGTGAGGTATTTAGTACGGATCGAACTCGCTAGACCAGCAGTGACCTACAATACTAGCTTTATGGTAGGTACCTCATTTGACTTTTTTTTTGTATATTCTCATGTTTCCCTTTAGAAAATTCGTATAAATAATCATTTTATTCTCTGAAGAAACTAACCTTCGATTTTCAAAATGTATTTCATCGAATCAATGAAAAAGGTTCGAGGAATTAGTGGGTGGGAGGGAGGAAATTATTATTCACTTTTTTTTGTTTCTTGTAAATGTAAAAAGTCACTTAAATCATAAATTATTGTCTGCCCTTCACGCAAATCAATAAATTTAGTAACATTTGATCCACAGAACTTGATTAATAAATTTAGTTTTTCTGTTTAGAAAAACAATGATTCTATTAGAAAACTGCAAAAGTTCGTTCCGATTAGAAAAATAAAATCAATGAAAATCGTGTACGGACTTTTTCAGTGATAAAATAGAATCTTATAGAATCCCGAGTACAATATTACATTATAATACTAACGATTCAATTCAGCTATTTCAAATATAAACTTTCTTATGAAGTGAAAAGATATCAGATATCCAGTTGGACAAATCTATAAAAATCTCCTTCACTTCTGTTTTTGTATTTCTTTGTTTAAACTGATCGAAAAATCTCGCCATTTTCAAGAAATGTGTCTTTCATATATCATTTTGTCATTTTTCCAAAACATTTCACGTAGAAAAATTGGATTTATGAATAAAAAACGAGGCTCGAAAATTTTAAAATTAGCGATTTACTTATCTCCACTCCAAAACTTCTAGACACAAAGGCGTGTAAAATTTCTCTATCAGTATGTGTACATGTTTGTGTGCGTGTGTATGGCTGACTGTTGTAAATGTATTGTTTGTTCTGACTTTAAATTGACGAGTCAAAAAGCACGTTCAAAAACAAAGCTTCCAACCAACAAACACTGGTACTTCGAAGGATAATTGTGTCCGCCTGGCGCGTGGGTAGCCTAGCGGTTATCTTGTGGAAAATGGGGGAACGGAGTTCCAATTTTATTTGAAGCCGTTTAAGAACACTTCACAGTAATTCTGCCTTATGAAAGGAATGATTTCTCATTCACCTGCCTTCTGTTCTACTGCCTTACACACACACACACACACACACACACACACACACACACACACACACACACACACACACACATATATATATATATATATAACGGCATTGGTATAATATGACTGTGAATATGTAACTTTCTCACCTTTTCATACAACAGAAAGCTGTTATTCGTATTGTCAGTCTTGACAAAGACCATGTCACAGATTAACAGATTTATCTCACATTATCAACAGTGTGAATGCATTCAGAAATACTTTTAAAGTTTGCTAAAAAGCCCAAGACACACTTCATGATGACAGCCCACTCTATCATCGGAGGTGACCCACGACCCAGGGGTTTAAGGACTATTATGTTTTATAAAACACCTAAAATATCTCAGAAATTCAAAACGTGAGAAAAATGTAATCTGAATAGTTGATGATTTATTTTGCTTCTAAAATCTGTTTTTTTTTTACGAAACTGTTTGTTAAACGTCTCCCGATTATGTTGATGTCTCTGTTATGACAATTAGGAAAGCAAGTTTGAGGTGGCAGCAACCTATTGTTGAATGCTCCCCAAACGATCTCCCATTGTTTATTAAAAAAAACCCCGAGAGATCTTTTATTGTAGTTCATCATCAAAAGACGACATTACTGGTCATTTGCCAAGGAGACGCAGCTGTCACTTCAAGAATCTCGTAAATGCAAAATCAGTTTGTTCTAAACTTTGACTTCAGAAATGAAAGCTTATCTAAAGATTGATTTTGTTATAGAATAGTTGTTTGCTGAAAGAACTTGTCAGAGCAACTGACTAGAGAAAGCATTTTGAAAAGAAAATAAAGAATTAATGAAAGTGAAGAAAATTTTTTTTAGTCCTGTTTTTTAAGAGAACAATTCAGTCAGTTTCTTTTCCCATGTTTTATGTAATCAAAAAATTTAAATTTAAACTCAGCGTTTTAAGAATTTTTAGGAATGATTAGCAATTTTACCGATATTAAAATAAACCATAGATTTATTTAGTTTTATTTATCTTGATTACAAAATGCTTTTAAAATACGGAATCTTTTAGAAAATGTCTTTCAGTTCAATTGCAGACATGCGGAAATTTTTTTTTTTATGACAGACACATAAACAGAAAATGTCTTTTTTTGTCTTCTTCCGTTAACTTACATTCTCCACAGTTTTCACAAGAGAGAATTTTAAATTTTGCGTCGTAAATCCCGTTTAACGACTGTCACTTCAGTCTCCGTAAAATATGGTAAAAACAAAAATACTACAGTAGAGATTAGTATCGCCGTCAACTCTCAAACTCAGAAAACTTGAATTCAATTTTCCTTTCATTTTCATTTTCATTTTTTTTTTTAAATCTCTGGTGATCCAAGAATCTTCTGTTAAATGTCTCCGACTCTCGACCTATCTTTAGGATGAGAGTTATGTTCTCTTGAGTGAATATTTGTCGAGGAATTCACATTGTTAAATCTGTTTATTAACATTTTTACCGGTAAAACTGACAAAATGCGAAATATAACAATGGAATAAAGACAGAAAATAACGTTCATTGCTCCCAAATTATTTGGACATCATCACTTGCTTAATCAACAGCATTAACGTGTTGTTTAGTTATTACTTGTTGCAATGAAGTCCATTTAAAAATACTAAATAACTTATTCTTTGAAATCCACTTCTTTGTTGCTTCTTGCTCGCAACCAAACAAGGAATTGGCATATCCTTCTTGGTAAACGCGATCATTGCTTGTAATCGGAAAGGACTTTGATTTTTGTTGGAAGAATAGAAAGCCAAACAGGATTCCCTTTTCTTCTACAAACTCAGTTTGTGAAGGCAGTGACAGTTGGCCAAACCCCAATGTTTCGGGGTTTTAGAGATGATTTGTCCAAAAAGTTCCCGCAAAAGAAAGTGCCTTGTTTAAACGCACGTATAGAAGCAAAAGGAAATATCATTTACTGTCTTTGGTGTTCAGATTCTGAAACTTTTGGTATATGAAGAAGTATTATAAAAAGCAGAAAAAAAAGACAAAGATTTAGTGTTGAAATACCAAGTCTTCTTTTTTTTTTCTCAGAATGAAAAAAAAAAAGAATTGCAGGAACTGACATACATTCATTTTAAACAGGTGATTCAAAATGCACGCACCAAAATAATGAAGAATTCTTTTGAAAATGCACTGAAATTATAAAAAAAAACACTTTCATAGTATGTCCACGAAGCAATCAGATGCATATTTGAAAATTTTCAAAGATAAAAATGATAATTTTAAAGTTTTTTTTTTTTTTTAATAGACTCGATCGTTTGGTGCGTGATTTTTGACTCACCCTGACAGGATTTAGTTTAGTTTAATAATGTCTGTAGGCTCAGATATATAATCATGTATAACGGATTGACATTTGACTCATTCATACTCAGATGCACACAGTTCTTTGCATTTACTGAAATGTTTTATTACAGATCAGTAGCACCTGCAAATATCGGACATTCTTTTTTATTCAGTCATTCGCTCGCTAACCTACGGCCATATCACGTTGAAAACAGCAGCTGCCATTATTTATAGAAGTTAGAGAATGACAGTGCCTAGAAGGGTGACCGCAAAATTAGAGCCCTCAGCTTCTCGCAGTCCCAATTCAGCGGAGAAGAAAAAAAATAATAATCACACTCTTCAGGATTGAATAGATATAGGGAAATTTGACTGTTACCCCCGTTTTTTGAGATTCTTTATTTGATCACTCGTCCATTGATTTCGACCTGAGGAGAGAGAAGCGAGGCAGAGGCGTGAGAGGGGACAGGACTGCAGAACGGGAACCTCTCGAGAAAACACATCGGAAAAATCACAATGGAAATGAATACAAAACATTTCTTTTTTTAGTTGAGAGTTCATTTTCATTCCCACCCACCCGAAACATCTTGTGAGGAGCAATAGAAAAGGGAAGAAAATCCAATAATCTTTCAAATATATGCGTTTTGCTCCTTCTTTGGGGAGAGTTACAAGAGAAGGAGGAAATAAT